TTCTTTGTTACCTGCAGTTTCAACTGAAAGATACTGGTTTCTTTGTTACCTGCAGTTTCAACTGAAAGTGAAATAATTATGGACAGTAATATTTACTTGGTAGGTCTGAGCCCCTGCAGTCCCAGCACTGAACCTTTGCCCTTTTTCTTTGACAGAGACTATAGTTTGATGTGGATATTCACATTTTTATGGGTTTTAATGTCTTGCGTAGAGTTTGGTGTTGTCTGAACAGCATAGTACAAACTTGGTTCTTACACCAGCTTTAAACATTGAAAGGATCTCCATTTTTATACATCAGCAGCTTTATCCTGTAAATAGGTAAATGCAGAAGTTAACTTGGGCTGTACCACTCTTCCTAAATTGTATTTATTCCTCTTCTGAACAGAGTATTTATTTTGTGATGAGCTTAGGTGAGCTACAGTTGTATTCTTCTTTGTATCTATGCTCGATTCATTGGTTTTGCCATTATGCTGCACATTGAAATTTAGCAGCAGAGCTGATGTTCCACTACTGGCTATTGGTGGAAAACAGTCTTTGTTACCTCTCCCCAACACTACCCGAGCTCTGTGGTGCCTTAGTAAACCCCTGGGAATTACTGTTTGAATTCCAGAATTATTTTCCAGACACATTGTTACACTGTAGGTATAACTCTTAAGAGTTACTTGAAGCTTGTTTCTCTATAGCTGTGCCATAGTGGCATTCCAGTGTCTTTTTGTTAAAATACTAGACCTCAGGGATTTAAATACCTTCTAAAAAATGTGTCATGGTTGCCCAGTCAGCAACTTGGCACCACAGAGCTGCTCGCTCACCGTTCTCACCCAGTGAGAATCAGAGAAAAAGGCAATAAAACTCGTGGGTTGAGGTAAGAAGAAATGTAAATGAAAATTAATAAAATAATTATACTAATAATGCTAATACTACTAACAAGAATACTGATATTAATAATAATATATAGTGAAAATAGTAATACTTTAAAATGTAATGAAAATTTAAAAATTATACAACCACTCACCACCCACTCTCTGACACCCAGCCAGTCCATGGACAGTGAGAGCCAGAGAATGTGAGCCAGAGCCCAAGAGACCTGAGAGCCGGGCCCCTGGCCCACTTTACCCAACTTATATTCTGAGCATGAAATTTTATGGCATGAAATATCCCTTTGGTCAGTTTGGGTCAGCTGTCCTGGCTGTGTCCCCTCCCACCTTCTTGTAGAGAAGCAGCTGGGAACACAGAGGCAGGATCAGAAACTGAAAAAGGCCTTGACTTGACATAAACATTGCTTGGCAACAACTAAATGCGTCAGTATGTTGTCAACATTCTTCTCAGCACAAATCCAAAACCTAGCCTCCAATTAGCTACTATGAGGAATATTAACTCAATCCCAGCCAAAAAGAGCACAGGATGGTATTTAAGTGCATGTAAAATTTTACTTAGGCTTTCTGATGTAAAGTCCTGCTCATTGTGCTCCCTTCCTTATAGTGTGTTGTCAGAAGGAGACATTTCTCTTCGAGGTCTTTGGACTTGTCTCTGAAGATCTGATGTTGGTAATCATCTGAAGCATCAGATCCACAAAACATGCCCCATTAGAAAGAAAGAGAAGAATAAATATGCTTATATATTCTTTGCTAAGACATCAACCTCATTCCTTATAAGCAGGAAAGTGTGTGTATTAGAGGAGACCCCAGTATAAAAGTCTCTTCCAGACAAATCCAAACTCTTGTAGTTATGACATAAATACATGTTTCAAAAGATGGAAAGGAACGGCTGAGAACTAAGAACAGACTTTGCAGAACGAATCTGCAACCTTCATCTCTTCCATTGATTTGCTTGCTTTTTCATTTGTCCATATTGTGCACTTTTTCCACTTCTGAGTAATGCAACTGTCCCTGACTCATGCCAGTGTTTTATGTTGGATGGTTACGGCATAGATAGAGCATGTGAAATTAGGTTTCTTGAAGAAATGTTAATCCAATTACTTTTTCCTTGTCCAGGCTTTACATTATGAAAACTCTGCAATATGTATGATGGTATATTAGATAGGATATTTAAATAAGAAAATGAAATGAAATGTACATACAAAATAACCCGAAAACATTAATATTGGCATTTGCCTTTATTTGAATTGTACAACCTAAAGGTGGTATTAACACATGATTATGCATTTAATTTTCTAGTTTGATGAAAAACAATTGCGTGTGCTTATTCATGGTTTAAGTGTTTCCAATTGGCTCCTGAAGTCTTTCACTTCAGTGAAGCAAATGGGATGCGGTAGACTTGAGTTCCAATCTTTATTATTCATTTCACTTTGACCAATGAGTTTTCTGCAAGCCCGGGTTAACAAGGTTAGTTTACAGAGTAGGGCTATATCATTTAAAAAATTATCCTTTTAGCATTGATAGCTTGTTGATATTACACACTGTTACCATTATTGAAACAGTCTCTAGAATTGTAAGGCTTAATTTACTAGCCTTCCTTCAAAATATTTGAGAAATGAATTAGTGAATGCTGTTCAGAAAGGATTTTAGATATCATTCAGCTTTACTAAAACTGAGGCAAATTCTAGCTTCCAAGTCTCTTTTTTCAGTTGCTTATAACTTTTCTTTTTAGTGATCCCAGCAGCCAAGGGGGGGTTGCGGAGGAGATATGATCTTGCCAAATTTCTTTTGGCTGTTTTAAATGTAATTTTGTTCAAAACGTGTTTGGAATTGCATTACAAATTAAAAAAAAAAAAAAAGACAAAGCATAATATCTGCACTAATACAATTTAAGAAGTGTTGAAATTACTTTCTTACTGTGTCGCAATCACTCCCAGCAGTGGGTGAAAAAAATAACCTGAAGAGTTTCTTTCCTCTCTGTTCTTTCTGTTCAGTTACACTGGTTGAAACCTTTTGCTATCTCAGCTGACATAGTGGCATTTTCAAAGACGTCGTGGGAATGTCATCCACTTGCAGAACAATGGGAATAGCTTCAGAGCCTGACCTGTGGTGTGCACAGGGGAGCGTGTCACTGTTGAAGCATCGCTACCTTAGGGAGGCAGCTTGGCAGTAGTTATAATGGTCGACGATGCTACAAAATTTACAGTGGCAAACGGAGAATATTACACATGATAGGAACAGGAGGGTTATTTAGATAGGCATAATATACTGTAGTTACTGAAGTAAAAATGAGTGTGAAAGAAAGGGCCAGATTTTTCTCAAGCTGTGTCTGCTATGTACCATACGTTGTATTTAAAGGAGACAGAATCGTGGTAAACAATCGTAGGCAGCTCACTGCAGAAGGTGAGTGTGTATGGGGAGAGAGGGAGACAGTGAAATGACCAGATAGTCTTTCTGACTTGAAGCGTGGGGGATGTGACAGGAAGGAAGGAAGCTGCCCCACACCATTGGAGTCACTTGCTGCTATTTGGGTCACTTGGGAATATTGGCAGTTAGCAGAAGCTGAAAGCAGCCCTGAGCCCTGCAAGCTAATGCTGCTTTCGTCATCGTTGTCCTTATCTGGAATACCTTCACTTTTCAAAGTAGTTTATAATGCAGGCCCTGAAGTAAAAAACTGGGGTTTTTTTAGAAAACAATCCCAGTTGAAAGGTGATGCGTTCACAGACATCACACTTCTGGTCTCAGCATGGATTGTAAGGTCACTCCTGTTTCAGAGGATCACAACCATAATTTCCTGGCTTGCCAAGTCTGTCCCCAAACTATTCCCAGCAACTATGCCATATAACTCTGTTCTGAAACAGGTTTCAAAAAGTCACGCTCATAGTTGAGCTTAAAAGGCTGAAAACTATCTAACTCTAGCTTGCATATATTTAGGGCAGTTTGCAAAACCAGAGTTTGTTGGTATTCAGAATATATAACCCACTCTGTGACCCTCCTTAGCGAAGTAAATCTGGTGAGATCTTACCCTGGAGTCACAATAGTAGTTTCCTTCTTTCTGGTTTCATTTGGTCTCCCAGGGAGAAGTAATAGTCTCCCATGTGACAGTGGGAGAGGGAGATGTTCACCTTAAGGACATGCATTGAAAATAAATCTGAAACACATTTCCTTGCACATAACCCAGCTCTTTGCATGGAAATTACTCTTTGGATTTTAGAGTGGCTGCAGAAAGTCTGTGAGTAAGTCTTGGGCTACTAAGACCATCAAATGGCTTATCTTGTTCTTGAGATTTGTTTCAGTAGAAGGTGCAGGAAATATAGATTTAATTCTTTTATTCAAACGCAGTAGATGGTTTGGGACAATTAATTTCCAATTGTTTCCCAGTAGAGCAGATTTACTTGTATATTAATGAGGCACAGGTGTTAGGCCCCTGGTGCCTGCATGCCTGGGAGGCATATTTAGGTTGTTTATCTAGTCAGCCATAGGTACTGCAAGGTACTCAAGCTTGCCTTTAACAGTTTATACAGTGAGGCTTTTTAATTTTTTGATGTTTTTTTAAATTTGCTAGCACCTGTTAAAATTTTAAAACTGATCATGTAGAAAGAAGTAGGAGTGCTTTCAATAGTAAATAGCACTAAATGTTAAAGAAAGTCATCTTCTATTATGCTTAACTGCCCAGCTTGACATTAAGAAGAAAAGAAGGTTCATTTAAGCAAATATGTCATGTGAGGAGCTAATACAGTCAACAGTATACTTTTGCGTATTTTTGGAATAGGTACTTCTTTGTCTACAGCTGAAACGTGAATGTGCTTATATTAATATTCATTTTTCTTGTTTATTCACTGAACTGCAGTACCAACATTTTAGAGGAAATGGAATAGCCTCCATAGACATTATGAATTTCAGTAGCTGGCATAATTATAGCGATCTACATATTCATTAAATCCAAAGAAGAAATGTGTCCAAAAAGACAGCCATGCGTTTAGAAATGGTACACAACTAAATATATACATTAAAAAAGTTCCTTTCCTCTGCTTATCCAATACTGTGTAGTGTCATATAGTCCTTAAATCAGCTAAGACTTTTTTGTTGTTGTTAACTGCTCATTCCTTTTGCTTTTGTACGCAGTAAAGAATGGGAAGAACTATTTGTAAACAACAATTACTTGGCAACTATACGGCTGAAGGGGATTAATGGGCAGCTGAGAAGCAGCAGGTTCCGTAGTGTTTGCTGGAAGGTAAGAAGAGAAAATATTTATTTACAGTTTGTGATTGCAATATATCAACACATTACCTGATGTGCTGGAAGATTATTGATGCAAAGAATCATGAATTTTCCAAGAGACTTCATCCCAATGTTTTCCTACTCATTTTTATAATTCATAGGACATTTGCTGATCATATTGAGTTGCTTTAGAGCTGAATTGTGGGGGTTAGAAAAAGATTCCTAGGAAAGAATCTCTTTGCGCTGGGTGGCGTGTTTAGAATCGAGTGCCACACAGCCATCTCTCTTCTCAGTCTGTGTGCAGTGAAGTCATGCACTGCAAATAAAGGAAGTCTGTCTCACAATCTATGTTTTGTGGAACTTGGGACTCCTTAAAAATCAGTCTGATGCTTCTGCTAGCAGCTTTTCCCAGTGAATTGAGAAAATGAGGACCAATCCTACTTGTAATGACTGGATTGAGAGGCAAGTCAGGTCTTCCAGTCTTTAAACACAACAGGTCCTCACAGGTCTCTTCCCATATTTTGTAAAAGTTGCAGGGAAAGGAAGAGAGAAGGAAAGCAAAGTAATACTGAGATGCTACATGAAGTCCAAAAGAATTTTGTTGTACTGGCATTGGGTCTTCTGTTCTGACTTTGATAGTAGAGAACATTTTTCCCAGTAGAGATGCTGAGAACAGTTGAATTAAATCACCTCACTTGGAATTTCTCAAACTTCACTTTGGCACAAAGACATAAAAAGAAAATGAAAATACTCTTTGTAAATGAATGAAAAAAATTGAATTTTGAAGTTTGAAGTGTATGTAGCATTGAGCAAATGTAATGAAAATATTTTCTTGGGGAGGCCGGATGAATATATGCCCCAAGCATTGTTTTATTGGTCTGCTGCTTCTTGAGCCTCTAAATTAGGAGGCCATAACCCAAAACCCCGAACTAACAAAAGCATCAAGTCGTTCACTGTCCACTAATTAAAAGAAGGAGTGGTTTTATTTTAGAAATCAAGCTGGTTTTATTTGCATGTCCCGATATGGGTTAGGACTCTCCTTTTAGAGTGCCTGTTTTAAAAATATTATCAATATTTTTGTAAATTTCTGAAATAGTATATTTATTTTTAATAATTTGGGAATGCTTTTTGTTTGTCAGTATTTACACTTTCTTAACACTTTTGTTTTCTCATTATTTTCTCAGCAGTTAAATAGTATTTTCCAATAGATGTTGCTTTTTAACCCTTGTTAAACAGAATTGTGAAAGAATGGAGATGTAGGCATTGTTAAAGACTTCTTGCAAAATCGACTCTTAACTGTCTTGCAGAATTCTAGAACACATGACTTTTCTATAGACTAATATTTTCCCTTTCACATTCCTTACGTAGAGTATATCTCTGTGTGTTTCGTTTCTTCTTTTCATTCATGTTGCATTAGCTCATTTAGCGAGCTTCAAGTTTTGTATATTTATTTTCGTCTCTTCTTTGCATTTTCTTTCTGCCTTGGAAGTCTCAATCAACTTTACTGAAGTTGTGACAGTTTACAAAGCTTCGAGTTTATGGCTTCAGGGTTTTTTAAATGCTTTATTTCCTACCGTAGAACTGTTATTGTTTCTAGCTTCTTATTTATTGACTGGAAAGTACTAAAGCCAGGAGTATTTTATAGGTCTTTGCTTTTTTTCTCCTTATGTGTAGAGTACTTCCTCCTCCTTTCTGAGGTGGTTTATGCTGTCTGGTAGGATTTATATGAAAAGCTGTGTTAAATTGATTGAACTTAATGGATTTGTTTTGTTTTGTTGATAGTTATTTTTGGAGGTTCTACCCCAAGACAGAAGTCAATGGATTAAAACCACTTCAGACTTAAGAACTTCTTACAGTAAGATCAAAGAAATTGTAAGTTGGTACAAAATAGATTCCCTATTCTCATGCTTTGACGTGCGTATTAATACTTGCAATATAACAGAAGAGGATTTCATTTTTTTTTCTGTTTCTACCCAGCACATTACAAACCCTCGGAAAGCAGGACAGCAAGATCTGATAATCAACAACCCACTCTCTCAGGATGAGGGGGTAAGTTGACCCTTGGTTCTATCAGCATATGTGTTACTAAAATTCTCATCGTCATCATACTGACACAAGTGAGTTCTTGCTGAAGAAGGAAAAATGGCAGGTGCTAAAATCTCCCTGCTAAATTTCCAAACTGGTCTGTGTTAACAGTGGTTCACAGGCTCTGCTGAACAACCAGCAATGCTCATTTCCAGGTTAATATTCTGATTTTTCAGGACTTATCACAGAGAAGGCTGTGATGGACAAAAGGTCGGTGCTGTATGTCCAGTATCGCAGCAGCTCCTTTCTTTGGCTGATACGCTTTTTTATTGCTGCGTGTTTTCATTTCATATGCAAAATGGCTCTAATTGAAGGAGTGTTTATACAGTCAATATGAGGGGAATGCTGTTAACAGCAAATCCTGAAGAACCCTCCTCTGTAAGACTGTTCAGCCTTGGAAGTTTTTCTCCAGCAAAAATAGAGTTGTTGTATGTCTGAGTTGTTTATGTGCTGAGTTAATGTCTAAAGCACCAGGCTGCAAGATACGCATTTCTCCCAAGGTTTTTAATTCTTTTTCTTTCCACAGTTAAAAGAAATAAAAGTTTCTTTTCAGAAAGCAGCCAGCTGCAAAATGACAGATCCAGATTTTAAAGAAATACTGAAAATGTGGTAAAAGTATTTGGTCTGGCTGTCATTAAGTGCAGAGGATCCAGCTCTCACTGAAATGAATGTGCCTCCTAGTAGCTTGGTATGACACTTTGGTGAGGGTTACCAGTAGATCTGTGAGCTTAATTTTAGTCTTTTTTTTTTTTTCCCCCTCACATGGCAATTTCTTATACCTGAAAAGGTGTTTTAGAGCACGTATCTTTAAGCTTCTCCATTAATTATGTTACCATTTCTGAAAATTCTTTTTTATCACATTTTCAAAATAATACCACGGAAATTTGTTGTTTTGCATTTGAAACTTTGTGAGATGTACACCTGGAAAGACTTTCACTGATACATTTGGTGGTACTGCCACCAAATTTTGTTCACAAAAATGGAAGCCCATATTTTCTTTGTATTTAGTGTCGTGCCCTGCTTCATACTTAACGTAGAAGGAGAGATAACTTTGCTTGTGGAAACATGGAAGTACTGGTCGTAGACACATTGGTAGCTCTGCAGCTGGTATGACTGTGCATGCCATCAAACC